TTAATATGCATGGATTTGACATTGCTAGTACAGAACAAGTCTTTTGGGGGTTACAAATGTTGAAACATGCATCCATCCTACAAAGAGACTCACTCAAACCCTCAATTTATATTGTCACACAATCAAAGCCTCCTCTAAAACAATCTTTTCTCAACCTCTTTACCCTTTAAGCATATCCCTGGAAGGATGCAAGACAATCTTATAAACTTCTTTATGCATATATACTTCTTGGCAATACCTCATTATTTAGAATCTACATATATTTGGCCTGAATTAATCTACCGAAACATTCAACCTCACAACTCCTGAGAATAGCTCCACAACCTTCTACATTAGAGACTATTCCCCATCCCCCTTTCTACGTTTTATTTAACAACTCCTTCCTCAGGAGCTTTCCATGGATGCTCAACCAAACTTAGAATATCAATGAAATGCTCCTCACCTCTTTAGTTGACATTTTTCAAATCATTAAAATGCATTATCAGATCCTATATCAGGTAGAGTTTGTTGATATAGTATGATTCCTTCACTCTTGGCTTCATGGTGAACCAAATTCTCCAAACTAAATGAGCATAAATATGCAAAGAGCAATATAAGGTAATTCCATTTAGCATAAATTCAGCCCATGTCAAGAAGGACCATATTTTACACATAGAGATATATTTTCTGGTGGAATAATAGATGTTGTTTATGGTGTGATGCATCATTCTGAATTCGTGATTTGATCAGTTTTTCTGACTTCATCTAATTTAAAACCTTGAATACTCAGCCCCATTGTTTTCCTAGCAATCTGTTGTATGGCAGAGAGTAGCAAATTAGTGTGAAATTTAATTAGTTTTAGTGCCATCTATCCAGAAGTTGTATTCTTTAACAGCTAAATTTGTAATAAATAACCAAGTGGTGCAGTAGAGGATCCTACAAATTCCTATAGTAATTAACTGAAAGGAGCTCAATTAAAGTACAAGACAAGGATTTCGCTGGGGATTTGCTCTTTAAATATCTTAAGTAGATGATGAAGTTATCTTAATTTGATGATATATTAGAAAAAGGAACTTGTATAAGCAGTTCATTTGCTTTAGTACTCCATAAACTTACAATATATTAATGGAGAGAGAACCATTTGTTGGTTGCTTAAGTCTGTTCTGATTAGTTTACCATTAACGTCAACTTTGATAACCAAGTGCATTAGAGAGTTGTACCAGCTCTTATATATAAAACTAAATCATTACTATTAAGATGTTTCCACTTCTACATATTACTACTCAATTGCAAAAGTTCAACAAATATACTAGTAACTAGTGAGGGTATTAGTTGAGAAATGATACTTACCATATCTGAATTAGATGATGGAATTTCTGCTGTATGTTTACTAGAAAGTTGTTCTTCAACAATTTCATTTGTTGATGCTTTTGTATTCTGCACGGCCCATAAAATATGAATAAGTTGCTAAAGAAGTTAAATCAATCAAGAAGAATATCATTTATTGATTAGGGAGAAACTATCTGTTAGTTTGAGTCTGTGTTATTATAAAAAGCATAATGTACATGCCTCTTTCGTATGTGGGAAATTACTACTCTGTTTTTGTGTTGTGGAGTCTTTTTCAATAATCTCCTTTGATGTTTCTTCACTCTAAACAACAACAAAAGATATAAAAAGAAGATAAAATGAGTTTTGAAACTATTAATAACCTTAATAAATCTTAACACAAAATATTAAAGAAAATCTTGATTCATTTGGAAAAAATTAATGAGACAATAAGGCAATAGAAAAATCATTAGTTGGTGTCTTAAGCCTACTTGCTTGTAGAAAATTATAGGGTTAAAAGGTAAAAATACCCAAGAACTTTTTCGTTAGGTGCATCTAGTATTCTTAAGTCAACAAAGATGCAAAAATACCGTTAAAAAACGTTTTTGGGTATTTTTGCATCTAATGTTTCCTTCCTTTGTCTTTAACAATCAATGTTAACAGACATTAGGCAAATTTAACAGGATGGGGAAGGAGGTCCTCACTAAAAAGATCGGTATCCATGCACTATTATTAACTTAGGAACACTAGATGCTCTAGGCAAAATTTCTTGGGTATTTTTGTCTTTTAATCTAAAATTATAATATACATGTATTTTCCATACTCAGGGAACCATCATTATATTCCGACATCGTTGTGTCATTTTCAATAACCTCCTATGGTCCTTCTTCAATCTAAACAATAAAGTCCTCTTTCTACTAGTGCTCGCTTATAAATCATGATTGTTTCATTCTTTGTTGTTTTACCAACTTATCCTTCATGAACAAGCATATTCAAATGGCCACATATGGGTAATTTTTTCCAGATAAAAATGGTGATAGTTCCTTGAGGAAATTCAATTTGTAAAGGTATCTGCATGGAAGCTGCTTCCTCTACCTACATTTAGCTTTGAATCAAACTAAACAGTGACCCTCACTAGTCCTGAGAATATATACTTCTACAACCTGCCACAATAGAGACTTTTCCATTCTGCTTCTACATTTAAGTTAACATCTCATTGTTCCAGAGCTTCCCATGGATACTTAAGTGAACAGGGACTACTATAAGTGAAACGTCCCTACCCTCTTTTGTTAATCATTAGAATGCATATCAGATCATATATGTGCTTGAGCTTGTTGATATGATAGGATTCCTTCAGTGGTGGCTTCCTAATTTGTGAACCAAATCATAATAAATGAACATGGACATGCAAAAAGAAATATAGAGTTATGTCATTTAGCATGTAAATTAAACCCATATTAGAAAGGACAATATTCTCACATGTGGAGACTTATTTTTTGACGAAATATTAGATGCTGGTAATGCATTGCTTAATTGTGAATCCATGATTTGATTTGCTTGGATAACTTCATCTGATTTAGAACCTTCTTCAACAACTGGCTCCATTGTTTCCTTAGCAATCTGTAGCATAGCACAGGTAAGTAAATTAGTTTGCAGTTAATTTCAGGCCATCTCTTTGGAAGTGATATTCTTAATTAGTAGCTAAAGTTGTAATATAGAACCAAGTGATGCGTTAGAAGCTCCTACAAATTCCTATATAACTTTATTGAAAGGATCTCAACAAGCGTACAAAGTGAAGGTGTTTTTCAGGGATTTGCTCTTAAATTATGTAAATTGGATTATAGACTTGTCATTGCAGGTATATGAAAATATAGGAACTTATCTAACAAGTTCATTTGCTGCTGCTTTTTGGTACACTAAATTTTTAGTATCTTTATGGAGAGAAACATTTGCTGGTTTTTTAACACTACTACAAAGAAGGCTTATCAGAGTGCTCATATAGGAGTGCTTACATGCAAAACACTCCAAAAAATTGACGTAGAACATATCGGAGCACTTATAAAAATAAGCCCTCCAATATGATTCACCTTCCAAAGCGCTTTCTTACAAAAGTGCTTGAGAATAATTAAAAAAAAATTGATCCAGAATTTTTTGGAGCACTTTCAACTATGTTTTAATTTGCTTATCGTTAGCATCAACTTTGATAATCAAGTGCATCAAAAGCTCCTACCCATTCTTATATATAAAACAAAATCATTATTGAGATGTTTAAGCTCAATAAATATACTAATGAAAGTATTTGTTGAGAAATAATCCTAGCCTAAAGAAAAAATAAAGTATTTGTTGATGATTGACCCTTACCATATCTAAATTCAATGGAGTTGTATTTGCATTAGAAAGCTCTACAACAATTTTGTTATTTGTTGATGCTTTTATATTCTGCACAGCCCAGAAAACATGAATATGTTGCTGAAGAAGTTAAATTAATCAAGAACAATATTATCATTTATTAATTAAAGGAGAAACTATTTGGTCATTTGAGTTTGTGTTATTATTGAAAGGCATAATTTACATACCATTCTCAAATTTGGAAAATTACCATTCTGTTTGTTTGTTTTGGAGTCTTCTTCAGCAATGTCCTTTGATGTTTCTTCAATTTCTACAACAACAAAATATATATATATATATATATATATATAAAAGCTAAATTGAGTTTTCAAGTTATTAGTAACCATAATAAATCTTAGGGCACAAAATTTAAAAAAAAATTGATTCATTTGGAACAAATGAATAGGACAATAAGGTAAAAGAGAAACCGTTAGTTGGTTTCTTACAAGTCTAATTGATTATATAGTAAAGTATAATATACGTACATTTGCCAAATTCGGTGAACTGTTGCTCTGATTTGGCATTGTCAAGTCTTTTCCAATAACCTCTTGTGATCCTTTTTCTTCAATCTGAACAATAATAGTAGATATAAAGAAGCAAAATGGCTATTCACTCAACAAAAAGGAAAATAAAAGAGTTGGAGTCATTATAAAATATAGGAATCAAAGAATGGAAATAAAGTCCTCTTCCTGCTAATGATAGAACCTCTTCCACATTACTAAATAGTTTACAGAAGCTCAACGAAAATATAAGTGAGAGTATCTGTTGAGGAATGACCCTCACAGTATTTTGATCAGATGAAGATGTTGTCATTGCACTATTTAAAAAGTATTTGTTGAGGAATGAGATGCTAAACAATTCAATTCATTAACAAGCGCATCATACATTTATTAAGAAAGGAACCATTTGTTGGTTTATGAGACCGGTTTGTTACAATGAAGCATAATGTACCTCAGCCAAATTTGATGCACTACTGTTTTGTTTGTGTATTTGTAATGATCCTAAATTTTAAATTAAATAATTTTTTTCTAATTGATATTTTTTTATTTATTTTAATCTTATGACTAATAGGAGTATTAGCCTAGTAGACTCTATACTAGATGCTTACTTGAAGGTTTAAAGTTCAAATTTTACTTAATGCAAAGGTTAATTTTATTTTGTTTTATATGGAGAGATTACTAAAGTGCCCTTGCTCCTTGTTATAAAAAAAAAAAAAAAGAGAATAATGAATAAAATATTGGGTCATTACTTGTAATTTTTTCAAGAAGTTTTATATTTATTCTCTTCTTCCTGATTCTTCATTCAGACGCCGAGGGGAGAGATGGCGAGAGAGAGAGCATCGTTCTTCTGTTCCTTCTCCTCTTCCCTGTCGCGCTGCCTTTCTGTTCTTTGGGGTTGATTTTCTTTGCTCACCATCAGCTATGTCTCTTCCTCGCCGTCACGTCCCGCCGCTGGGAGTGTTGCTGTCACCAAATCCTCTCCTTGCCATCGCCCCTGTTTCGTCCTAATCTTCTCTGCTGTATCGTTGGTGTGTGTGAGCTTTAATTTCCTTTCCTCTTCAGTTATAGGACATGCCTATGTGTGTTTGATAAGCTTAATTTCTTTCTTTTGCTAGCCAATGATTTCTGATGTTTTTCCCTCTTGTTCGTGCGGCACATTGAAGCTTTTCCTTTCCTTCTTGGTGTCGACCATGTGCTGATTATAACTGTCACTACTGCACTTTGGGTGAAGGTAAATCGTCGGTACTTTCTTCTCCTTCTTTGATTTCAACAGTTACACCAAATCATTTTCTCTTCCTCCCCTAGCCGAAAGATATGTCTTTGCTCTTCATTGTTGCTATCATGATTTTGACGAAATTGAGGTGTTGTTTGGTTTATGCTGGGTGTTTCTTCATTTTAATGATGAGCTGAATCTTGATTGTAGAATTAAACATTTGAAGAAGTTGGAAGCTTGGATGCTGGGTGCATAATTTAGTTATTTGTAAATGTGCTTATAATGCTTGAGGAAGTATATGTCTTCATATGAATTATGAAGTTGATCTACCCATGGAAATTGTACAGCACCTAAAGGGAAATTGCTAGGCTACATAATAATTAAAATTTTGTTTAGCTTGGATTAAGAGTGTGTTAATGATCAGGGTTGAATGCTTCCAAGTGTTGTTGATTACTTGATGGAATTTATTGAAGGATTTATGGAGAGTTTAAGGGGTTAACAAGAAATTTAAAGAATTGTTGAAAAGCTTGAATATTAGTTCACCTGCTTATATTAAGAAGGAAAATCATAATGACATAAGAGTTACTGGTTTAAATGCTAGGTTAATTTGGGGCATCACTGAAGTAAGCGTAAAATTGAAGGAGTCTAACTATAAGATTATTAAAAACCCTTAGGTGAGTGGGTAGCGTTCCGAATAAATTTCTAGCAAAATGTTTATAAAATTCTTTTATTTAAATTTTAATATTATTCTTTCATAGGTAGTATAAATATTCATGCAAATTCTATTTTTATAATAATTGATTTATAAATGATGATTTCTTGATTTTGCCCATGATTTATGTTATTGCCAAGTAATGATTGAAGTTGATATATGACAAATGGTATTACGTCTCAAAAGTAACTTAATAAATTCTATGTTTGATATGAAAATTTTTATTATGACAATTCGTGCATGGAGGATAGGAAGATGAACATAAGAAATGGAAAATGATTGTTGAATAGCTTATTGGAAAGTGAAAAATTTTGAAAATTTTATTCTTGCTCCATGCATGCTTAATTTTTAATTAGGGGGACTGAATTCAGAACGCTGGATGCTAACAGCAGTTCTGTTAGCCCTTAGTGCGCCATGGTACACCGAGCTAGCAAGGTGCATTGGAGATGCTAGCCCCGTGTGCCGGCCAAAACACGTGGAATGGAGGATGTAGTTTCGTGGATATAATCCACGCTTGTTATTCGTGAGCTTTATGCTTGCGCCTGTTTTTCGTGGCTTCTTGCCACGCCGGATATGTTACTTACCCTCGTGGATTGTGTGTCCACGCCTGTTATTCATTCTGATAAAGCCCTCCTAGATTGGACTTAAAACTTGTTGTTTTTATATTAATTTCTGTGAAGGCATTTTTAAAATTGCACCATTACTCGAAATTTTATATATATTATAAAATTTTTATAAACTTATTTGGTTCTAATATTGTTGGTCGTTCTACGATTATACCATTAAGCAAACTCTTCATTTATTATTAATTAAGGCAAGTGTTTTATTATTTCCTTGATTTGTTTAAATTAAATTATTAGTTACTATTTTCACATTTTTATTTATTTAGTTATTTATAATTTACAAACTTGATTGGAACGCTACTCACCGGAAATTTCTTTGATCTCAGATATTGTAGCTGACCCTACACCTTTTGCCGATCATTGAGGGGTAGTATTGCTTTTTGGATAGTGGGAGCAATCTTTGACAATTCATTTTGATGCAATTATATATTATGTTAAAATTATAAATTTAGCGCTCCATGTATACCGTAGTTAGGTCCTAATCTTATTTTGTTGTTGTGAAATATATTGGTGTGGAGTTAAGCTCCTTTTTGGTTTGGCTGACAGGTTTTGCTCCTGTAGAAATTTTGGCAGGTCGTAGCTACAGGAGGGTCCTGTCGAAATTTTTATAGAATGTTTAAAGTTTCACCAACTTTATAATTATGTATATATTAAGAGACTTTTAAACTAGTAGGGTTTATTTATCGATATTTTACTTTTATATTTAGTTAATTAAGGTTTATGGAATGCAAGTGTATCTTATATTCTGTGCCGGTCGCACCTTTAATACCGGGGTGTGACAATATTGTGGAGTCATTTTCAGCAACCCCCTTGGATGCCTCTTTACTCTAAACAATCACAAAACATATAAAAAGAGTTAAAATGACTTGAAATCTAATAAACTTTATAAATCTTAGCCCACCAAAAAAGTTTCTACAAGTATTGACATCATTCTAAAATTTGGAACAGTGGTAGAAGACAATAATGAAGACAAAAAAGTACAGTGTAAATACATTTGCTTGTTCCAAAGGACTATTGTCATGTTCTGATGTTGCCTTGCCTCTCTCAAGAGCTTCCTTTGATTCTTCATCTTCTCTCTAAACAAAGATATCAAGAAAATAAAAAGTTCAAGTCACTTGATCAAAGATGGGAAGGGTAGTTGATCCATTTATTTATACCAAAATTAGAAGCAAGGCACATTTTTTTTTATATATATATTGTTCAACTTAATATATTTTATTAAAGTTTGGTGTAAAAATTATCATTTGTTGGTTCCTTGTGGCCTTGTTTATTTTCACTTCCATCCAATTATGCTATTTTATTAAGTTTGGTACTGACCTTGATAGCCCAGCGGAAAATCTGAAACGTGAAGGAGCAGTCATCATCGATAGAGTTCATCTGATCATTTCGTAATGATCTATGAACATCAAATACTGCCCAAATAAAATAATTTCATTATTATGAGAACAAATGATAGCAGTTAGCAGTTGTGATTAATTGTGCGCACGAGCGTGTGCATGTTAATACTTACATTCACGGGAGCTGGCATTAGCTGGAGTTAGAGTAATATTGGGACAATGATGCACAAGACGGATTTTCAGTTTGAAAATCAATTCCTTGACAAATAGTATGAAGAGTAGGTAGATTTATCAGTCGCAATGCATATAGTCTTGGAAGCACATCATTCATGACCAGCTCTCGCGGCATGCCCTGCTCCCATCCAAATACTTGCCCAAGCTCAGGGACATCTTCTATAATCAAGAACATGAGCTGTGGAAGCTTGCCACATTTGGAGAGAGAGAATAGACATTTCAAGTTCTGACAATGCTTCACTTTGATTCTACGTAGCTCTGGGAAAGATTATCTCCTTGCCTCATTCTCTTCATCATCAATGATGCTCACTAGCTCTTCGCACTTTGATACGAATAAGCTTCTCAACTTTGGTATGCTTCTTGAGGTAGATGCAGATAATATAAATTTCAATTGTTTACATCCTATGATTTTTAGCATGGAGAGATTGCAAAAGCTCAAATAATTCTAGGCCCCACGCTTGTATCCCTAAAATCAGACAACTCTTGCGAGTCTGAAAGAGCTTATCTTTCTCCTTGAGAGATGATGCCTGTAATTAATATGACTGAGATATGTTAGTACTGAAGATTCCTTTCAAGTGATGAATCAAATATAAAATAGAAAAATAAGTTGGAGGGTTCACCTTTCTCCTTGAGAAATCTTGTCTATTATGTCCACCAACCAAGAAATTTATAATAGTTTGTATGGGAAGTTGTGGACATCCTTCCAAACTAATTTCTTCTACATATAATGCTTTTACATGATAGTTTTCAGTGCCTATATGAACCATATCGGGTACATCAATAAGGTATAGATATTTCAAAGCTGGGAAATTAAGTTCAATCTGATCACTATGATTCTGATCAGCATGACATCTTCCGAACACATATTCCAACCTTTCAGCCTTCCTTATGTCCACAGATTCCAAATGCTGAAAGTCTTTTGAATAAAAAGCTGGAAATATATATTCTAAATGGCTACAACTAACAACTTCAACACGCTGTACTTTGGGAAAGATGGAGCTGACACTTATATGATCATGACCATGCCCCTTGTCTGTTACTATGTGCTCCAATGCATGGCACTCCTTGACTTCCAATCCTTCCAACAATCTCAGTGAAAAGGCCATAGATAGGGTAAACAGTGATGTTAAGTCAGAAAATCCAGTTATCTCAATCTCTCAAACTGCATTGATATGAAGATGGTGTGAAATACTCATGAGCTGTACTCAGAATAGACTTTGCCTTTGATGCCTAAATTACCAAGAAACATGTCATAAGTTTTCAGCATTTTAAATACTCCAATAAATGACAAGTGTTCAGCTTAAAAATGTAAATGAAACATATGAAGCAAAATTTCATGCTCAAAAATCTATAAAAGTTTTTGTCCGATGTGTAAAACTAACTTGCAAGCTATCAACACCGGGCCTATGTTTGCAGAGTCACACATGCAAAATATGAGAAGAAAAATCACACACATCCATGCACGCACAAGTATAAACTATGAGAAGCAGAAATCTATACAAAATCACAATTTTGTTTTGGTAATACTAGGATTATTCCACATCAATAGTAGAAACTAAACTCCATCAGAGTATGGAGGACAAAAGACATATCCCTTCTAATTAGGCTTTCTTTGTGCTCAGGAGTTGGAAATCAAACTCTCAAACATTAGTTTAAGAGACAAAGGCCCCTACTACCTAGATTAAGTTGGCCAAAACATAATAAATTTTATCTACATTGATATTTGTGCTTGAAATTGCACATGGAAATCTAAATCACGTGTCATAAGATATATTAGCATTTAGGATTGTTTTGAAGAAATACATCTTAGGCTAGAAAAACAAGTTGGAAAGATGCTTACCATTCTCTTCGAGAGATCTTCTTGTCTTTTTCGCACATCAACCGATAGATCTATAATAGTTTTTAGGGAAGTTGTGGACATTTTTCCAATCTAATATCTTGTAGAGATAATGCTTACACATAATAGTTTTCAGACAAACACTAACCATGTTTGGGACATCATCAAGGTAGAGTTCCTTCAGAGCTGAGAGATTAAGGTCCACATGAACATTATGCTTCTGACTGGAATGGCATTTTCCAAACACATTTTTCAACTTTTCAGCCTTGGTGACTTCAATCCGCTGTAAGTTGGGAAAAATAGAGTAGTCATTCATGCGATCATGACCATGCCTCTCGTCTATTACTATATGCTCCAATGCATTGCACCTTATGACTTCCAATTTTTCCAGCAATTTCAATGATGAGGCAACGGATAGAGTGAAGAGTGACTTTAACTCAGAAAAGCCATCTATCTTCACCATTTTCAAAATTTTGTATGGGCGTAATGGTGATGCAAAAAGTCCATGAGCTCTATTCACAACATATTTCTCCTTTAATGACTGATTACACAAATGTGAGATCTTTCACAAATTAAATAAAGATGTGTTCTATTACAAAATTAGAGAAGAACTTTTTGCTCACATAGAGTATGAATGTAATAACCTAAAATAATAACAATAAAAAAATAAAAAAATAAAATGAAGATGAAATCTAGTGGGGTCTTCTTTTGAAATTTTTCCCAACAAGATTTGGTCTTAATTTGTAATTTTCCCATGGAGATTTATATTTTATTTTCTCTTCTCCTTTGTCGGTGAAACACACAGAACAGAGTGAAGGCTCGCGTTTCTTTTTCCTCTACTTTTCTTTTCTTTCTCGTTGCACTGGTTTCATCTTTGGCATTAGCGTGCGTGTCTCCTCATCACTAGAAAGTTGTCCGCTCCTTTCTCCTCTGCTGTCCGTCCATTTCTGTCAAGCGGTGAAGCTGAATCTCTTCTTTGTTCTTCGCTGTTGCGTGGCTGACAGGTGCGTGTGTGCATACGTGTACAGCTTTCTCTTTTCTTCCTTTCAACAGCTGAAAGTTGTGTGTGTGTGTGTGTGTGTGTGGGGTTAGCTTGAATCCTTGCTTGATTTTAGTCCGTGATGTCTATTTCTTTTCCTCCTCGTTTAAGCAACGGAATCGCAGTTATTCTCCTTTCCTTGGGTGGTATTCGTGAGTTGAAGTGTGGCTGAAGCTATGATAATTTGATTGAGGTAAGTTCCTAGTCATAGCAACCCGAATCCCTCTCTTCTTCCCTCACCGAAGACGCGTCCCTGCTCCTCTTGGTGCTGTCATGATTTTTCTGAATTTGAGTTGTAATTTCGGTTGAGGCTATGCATGAATTTTAGTAGATGATAAGTTGAATGTTAATTTTAGAATTAATGTTAGAAGTTGATTAAATGGTTGGGTGATTATTGTGACCTGAATTTGGATGCATTCAGGATGATTGAGAAAATGTTTGAAGGAAGAAATTTGTAAAAATGTTGGTAAATGGATATAAATTAGTTGGAAGAAATATATGTGTAAGAAGTGGCTCGAGTTGATGACTAAAATTTAAAATACCAAAATAAGAAAAAGGATTATATAGGATAGTCTTTTTTTAGTTCAAAGGAAGCATAAGAATGATTGATTAAATTTATTATGATTTATGATTGAGAATGGGTCATAAAAAAGTATGAGGATAAGTTGAGATTTGTCAAATGACTTAATTAATTCTAGTGTACTTGAAATATAATTGGTTAGAGTATTATCTATAATATTTTTTGGATTAAATTTAAATGTCCATTAAGAGCTTGGAAAATTTCTTGATAAATGATTTTAGATTTATGATTTACTTGTTAGGGAATTAAGAGCATCATTAGAATTAAAGTGAAAAGTTGAGAGAGGCAAATTTTAGAATTATTAAAAATTTTTAAGTGAGTGGATAGCGTTATGAAATAATTACTTGCAAAGTGTTTATAAAATTTATTTATTTAAATTTTTATAGCATTTCTTTATAAGTTGCATAAACATTCTTGTAAATTTTATTTTTATGATTTATAAAATTCTTTTTACTTACCTGACTTTTATATTAATAGGGTTATTATGGGATTTGCTTTGTCTTTATTAAGAATTATGCTATTATTAAGGAATGTTTGGATCCAGTACATTATTGATTGATTATTTGTTCTAAACATTTCTATTCTTTAAATTTTATAATTTATATGACAGTT